ATAGCACTAGCATAACTAAAACTCATACTTAGAGATAAGTCATGAGCTTAACTAGTTTGCATGCTTTAACTATGTCATCTGTAAACACAAATTACATTTCTTTCCTAATTTTTTATTATAGGTTGAAGATGATTGAGAATGATATGAAAGTGAGTATTTGTAATAGATATATTAATAAAGGAAATAGTTTAGATCATACTACTTATTGTATTTTAGTAATGGTAATGATTACAAAGACTGAAACAATATACTCAATGGCTGAAATAATTATTTTCTTTAAGTAGCCAAGAGGGATTTATAAGAGGTAAATAATTTCTCATCCTTGCCCAAAGTATATTAAACTTGGGTTGACCAGTATCTTTAATGTATTAATCAATAAGCTCTCATCTGAAAGAATGCTATGTAAATTTATATACCTCTAAAGAAGGCTCCATAAATATCACATGATTTACTGCTGTTTTTAGGAGACAAGTTTCTGGTAATGACTAAAATAGAAAGTGCTTCAGGCAAATTAGTGTGATGTATAGAAAATTCAGTACTGGTTGCAAGAAGTTCAATGCTAATAAGATGGTAATGCTAATAATGCATTACCAGTGCTAATAATGCAATACATATCTACATCTTCACTGCAAACATGAAGATGTAGATATGTATGTGTAAATCTATAGAACTATGTTTAGCAATTCAAACTGTGTCTCCACTAGTTAACTAGAAAATAGTGTTGCAAAAGTCACCTTAAATTCTAGCCTGCATTTCTTGTTTTGGCAGACTTACCACATTGAGATATTGTGAGGAAATCTGAGTTATTTCTAAAGCATTTATGAGTTTCCCAGTGGGGACATCCCCAAAAAAGAAAGGCAGAACTATCATAGATAAATAAAATGAAGGGCAGGTAGAATCCACAGACAAATATTAAATTTACTTACTGATAAATTCCTTTTGCATTTAATAACTCTTGTCCTGCCTATGTAGCCTCTTATTGAGATACAGACAGATATTAAATTTACTTACTGATAAATTCCTTTTGCATTTAATAACTCTTGTCCTGCCTATGTAGCCTCTTATTGAGATACACTGAATTAGGAGATACAATAGCCTCTTTTTATCTGATATCTATAGGCAGAATTGTCGTTCCCCTCTCATGAGGAATCCACATGTGCTGCCCTCAAAAAACACTCAGATTCTAATTCCGAACATAAGCTAGACTCATCCATGTAATCTCAAATCTGGGAATTCCCATATTGATAATTCTATTGAAAGAATACAAGATAACAAAATGACTAAGCCCTATAAACATTAAACAAATATAGAATTTTCCAAAGGTAGACAAAAAAAAAAAAAGGAGAAAGAAATTGCTTTAGATCTGAGAACTCTATTGTGATCAACTGAATTTTTTACTCCAATTATTTACTTCTCCCTGTGCCCACTCCCCTCACCATATAACATTGAAATTTCTCTCAGAAAGGTCACATCTATTTCCCCACCCTTCTGGGTACAGCCTAAAACTTGCTTTTGGCCGGGTGCAGTGTCTGACATCTATAATCCCAGCACTTTGGGAGGCTGAGGTGAATGGATAATCTGAGGCCAGGAATTTGAGACCAGCCTGGCTAACATGGTTAAAACCCATCTCTACTTCTAGGTCCTTAAGGAATAGCATGGGGAGAAATGCCAGATATAGGTGAAGGGGAGGAAGGCAGCAAATTACACTGCCATGCGTGTACCTATGCAACAATGTTGCATGTTCTTCACATGTACCCCAAAACCTAAAATGCAATTAAAAAAAATAAAGAAAAAAAAAAAATAAAAGCCTCTAAGCAGTCAAAAAGAAAAAAAAAAAGAAAAAACATCTCTACTAAAAATACAGAAATTAGCCAGGTGTGGGTTATATCTGTAATCCCAGTACTTTGGGAGGCTGAGGCGAATGGATCACCTGAGGTCAGGAATTTGAGACCAGCCTAGCCAACATGGTTAAAACCCGTCTCTACTGAAAACACAGAAATTAGCCGGGTGTGGTGGTTCATCCCTGTAGTCTCAGCTACTCAGGAGGCTGAGGCAAGAGAATCACTTGAACCTGGGAGTTGGAGGTTTCATTGAGCTGAGATTGTGCCACTGCGCTCCAGCCTGAGCGACAGAGTGCGACTCTGTCTCAAAAAAATTAATTAAAAAACTAAAACTCGCTTTGATCAGGAAGATGCAGGCAGAAGGGTTTGCCAGCTATACACCAACATCTTACGTGGCACTGTGGTTCCTCCTTGCCCTGATGTTCTGTAGCCGTGACCATCAGAACAGTAGAAGAGACATTGGAAATGACTCCAAGCACAGGCAGGAGCTAACCCTGTCCAGTCCTGGAACTAGAAAGAAAGCTACCGAGCTGAGCCCAACCTATATGAAACCTCCCAGCTAATCCATGTGCATGAGATAAAAAAATCCTTATGTTTGAAAACCATTAAGAATTTGAGGTTATTTCTTACACAGCATTCTTGTGAAAACAGCTACCTGATACATTTATAAATTAAAGTGAGCAAAAGAAATATTCTTCCCTTCTAGTAATCTGAAAAGAATATTTCTCTCTTCCTGAGATGTAGATTTCATTTATTTACTATGAAAGTCAGCAAATTAATGCCTGATTGATTGAAAGAGTGTTACAGCCAATGACTTCATTCTAGATTGGCCACTGACACTTTTTTCCTCCTTATCATGCTGACAATCATATTGATTTTCAAATGCTTACCCTTTCTCTGCTGTGTTGGGGATACCAATCCCTGTATGACCTCATCTGTAAACTTCTAGGGTTAAGTGATCACTGGTTCTTGAATTGTTCTTCAGGGCCCAGGCTTCTGAGAAGAGATGTGTGGAAGACCACAGCATGGTGGGCAGAAAAGGAAAGCTAAACAATATGAGTGCTAACCTATCAATCAGCACAACTCTGCTTCCATCTGTGTTAGCTATAGATTCTTCATGTGGAAAATCAGTTTTTCTGTTTAAATATCAAGAAGTACTAGACCAGATGCGTTCTAAAGTCTTCTAATACTCAAAGCACCATGATTACATTTTTTAGTTTGACCACCCCTTTTTCTTTATTTCTATTCCCACCACTCTAATTTAAGACAATATCACCTATACTCCTGTAATCACTTCCTAACCTGACCCCTTGCTTTGAGTTGCAAATTGTATCATTTTATTCCCCTGCTTAAAATGAGAGAAAACCCAACTTTAGCAGGGCCCCCAGGCTCTTTTCCTGCCCCACTTCCCCACATTTCATCCTGGCTTAGAACACACCCTACTCTTTCTCACCTTGGGGTTTTTCTCCCGTGCTGTTTGCTCTGCTGGAAATGCTCGTCCTCTATGCTTTTTGCCCTTCGGTGTCATATTATAAGTCAGCCTCTCAGAGAGACTTTCTTCGATCACCTAAACTACAGCAGGCCTGACCTGACCCCTATCATTCTCTATGACAGCACATTCTTCTTTCTTTGCACTCATGATTTACAATTATAGAAACATTTGTTGGTTGTTGTATCATCCGACTTTCTACTAAGTATCAGCTCCAGGGGGCCAGGGGTGAAGTTATCTGGTTTATTTTTGTATTTTCAGGACCCAAAGCAGTACCTGGCACATAGTGTATACTCAGGAATATAGATGAATGAATGAACTAATGAACTTCTTAGCTTTTGTCATCATTTTTTCTGCCACTTTTCTATACCATATAACACTTCCCTAGTCTGTCATTTGCTTATACCTGCTCTCTTAGTTACTGTCCTTAATCCATGCATAATGTTCCTTATGTTCTTAAACATCAGAATTTTCTCTTCAACTTTCTCTACTCATCACACTTCTCTCTTCTTACTTTTTTCATGTGCCAGTGGTCACCATCTGGTAGGTTATGGGAGATTATTATAAAGGTGACCCAAAATTTTAGAATTGGATTCTATTTAGGATAAAATTAACAATAACAATCCTTCAATAAATGAGATCAGATACCTGTAGAAGCAAATGCTCTATGCCACCGGACTGAGATGAGTGAGGAGTTTGGGAAATACCTAAATTCCAAGCACGATTACCAGGAAATGGTGTTAGGAAAAAACGATAACAAAAGTTATATCCTGGCTAATTGCATTAACCTCCATCAGAAGAAAAAAAAAATAAGTGCATGCTTTGTGTATAGTCTAGAAAACATGGACACAATGAACAAATAATGTGGAACTCCATTGCTGGAATGTGGGTTTTCTAGCAATGCCTGGAACAGAGAAATAACAGATCTGATAAAGGTAATATTATGATTAGTAGAGAAATGAAGGCTGTGTGGGGGAAACGTATTGGTCACAAGCTCTCACTACAGTTTAAATGCACAACCTAAGAAGATGCTCTGAGAGTAGGCATGAGGCTCCCGGCTGCTGAAAAGAAAGCTCCCTCTGCAAGTGAAAAAGCTGGCATTTCGGCTTAGGCAGTGGTTTCTGGTGAGTTGGTTTAGTATGAGTCAACTTACAAAAATTCAATCTATTCTGGGTGTACTGAAAACATTTAGTTTCTTAATCTGTAAAGCCAAGATGCATACCTTAAACCACAGTTCTGAAAGAAAATGTCCGAAGCTGAGCTGTCAGTAGACTTCCTCGGACTCCAGTTACATCTTGCCAGACTTTCTTTCCAATTCTCATATGAACCACACTCTGTTTCTTATTATTGGCCATGCCTATTACTATCAATCTGTTGATAATTACATGATATACTTTTGTGAGCACCTGATTACACAAAATGGAATTAAGAAATGCAAACATTTTTTGTCACCGTGGCAAACTGACACTCCTCAGAGCTAAGACACAATGTTGTAGCCTCAGCATACATTTCTGTGAGTGTAGCTCTAGGATTCCCCTTTTACCTAACATTATAAATTTGGATTATGTCTCGGAAAGTTGTTTGGGAGATCATAAGCTGCATGTAGTAAACAGTATATGGGACAATTAATAAAGAAAGGTGTTAGAGAAAAATACCAAAACTTTTCAGACCTGGGATGGAAATCTTCCCCACAGTCGGATGCTCCATCTCCATAACGAGGCCATTGTGTAATACCTGAAAAGGCAAAAATAGAGAGAAAAATAATTTACAAAATAAACCCATCTTCAATTGCAAGGTATGGTACAGCCATCTATTCAGTTAACATCAAAGAAAGATACAGCAAAACACAGAGATGTTTAAAATTTTCATTTGAAAGTAAATATTTGAGGTAAAAATAATGTTTCATCTTATAATACATCAAATGAAGCCAAAAAAGACTAGAGGATTCACAGACTAGCAAACATTTCAGTAAGACCTTCCCACTCATAAAATTTTTATTTGCTCCTAAATATAGCAGATTATTTCCTCTCTTTCATCTATGGATGCTCCCCTAATATTAAAACTCAGACTTTTCCTGCATTATCTCATGATAGGACTTGGCCAAAGTCAAGAAACAGGGCCTCGAACAGAACAGCACACTAGGGTGGCACACATGCTCCTGGAAATCTGTTCAGCAGAAGGTATGGGAAGTCAGACCACTTTGAAGAATAATCAGAGTATCCAGAAGGCTTGGTGACTGCTGGAGGTGGAAGGATTCAGGGTTGCTGTGACAAGCAAATGAGCAGTTAACAGCAAACCCAGAGGAGACCCAGGTCAGAGGTGTGCCCAGGAAAGCTGAACCAGGAACGTTCTCCGTGGTAGTCAAAACCTTAAGCATAAGACTAGAGTTCAGAAATAGGATTCCAGGATCCTGGAGAAAAAAGCCAGAGACTTCATCCCAGAGGCCTGATTAGGTTCTCATGCAATGGGACTGAGATAGGTATCTACTGTGCCATCAAGAACATAAGGTAGCCTTGGCTTGGGATTAAGATCTAAGGCCAGTTACTAGTGAAGGGATGTTCTACCAGTGCCTGACTAGAGAAATGTGACTTGATGCTGAATCACTTGACTACTGAAATGAAGCAACTTAAATCCCTGGCAAATGAAGGCTGGAAATTTTCCTGGGGGGAGGCAAAAAGACTGAAGTGCCCTCTAACTATAGGTGGTGGATGCGCTGAGGGCATAGAACCAAATTCTGGGACATAAGTGTTGAATTATTTGAGGCAAAATGTTCTGTGATACACAAACACATATGCAAAAAGTTTTTTTCTTTCTTTCTCTCTCTTTCCCTTCTTTCTTTCTTTCTTTTTCTTTTTTTAAACAATTAGAGGCTACCTGAGTATACTGTCTCAAAGAATCCAACATCTATTACTAGAACCTCAGTTAAACATTTATGGGCATCTTACATATAAATTGTGTTTCACCTGCACTATCTACCAAGCAGAGAACCTCTCTCTTCCTGTCCTGTACATGCATCTAAAGGACAGAAGTATTTCGGTGGCATATTAATCTTACAGATCACAATTTTATGCCAGTATTCCAAAAAATGGCAGTTATAATGGTTATACAGCATTTTGAGCTTCAGGTAAAAGCAAGATTTGTATATTCACCTTCTTACCATAATCTATTCACCGAGCAAATGAGCATGGAATAAAGAAACTAATAAAAATGTTTTCTCACTTTGCAAAACTCAGAGAAAGAGCTCAAATTTCTTGGGTTTTATTCATTTCTGGTGAGTTTTTTGTCACATCATAAAACAAATCATCAATAAGACAACTTCATCAGTGACTTTAAGTTTAGAATTACAGTTTTGCTATGGCTAAATATTCTGGCTGCCACTGGTTTCTTTGGGAATGGTTACCACTTTTTGGGTGATGCTCTTTAAACGATGTCAACCTCCCTCATTGAGGATGATAACAGACCACACAGAGATTCTCTCTTTTGGGATCACCAGGTTTGTACTCAAGAGCTGGCCAGATAAAATTCTCGCCAGTGTTAGAATTGTGCTATAATTTAATTCTGGTGTGGCTCATTCTCAGCACCCGCCCCGCACAGCTTCCTTCTATGTGGGGGTGGGGGCTAAATGCCAACGCGAGGTGCTAAATCTCAGTTCTACTGAGGACAGGAACAAAAATACCGAGCTAAATTTCACTCAAAACAATTATCTGCACACTGAATCATTCTTCTCTCCTCGTATCTCTGTTGCCCTCCTGACTACCTCTTTGTAATAACACTGCAGTGCTACTCACGAAAGACAAAAGTGAGTGTTCTTAGCTAAATATAACTTAACTGATAGTGCTGAAATTAATTAACGCTGAATTTTAATCATGTAGCAAACGTTAAGTGTCAAACGTGAAAGGGTAGTTGGTAAAGGTCAAGGGACATATGTCAAAGTTTTGTGAAGCAAAAGCTAACAGTTGATTGAAATTTTCCATGGAAGCAGTTTAAGCAGTGTACCTTCTCTACCCCTATGCTGATTGCTGTCTATATAGGATATTTTCAATATGAAACTTTAACCTTATCAATGCCTTTGCATGAAACCCATTCCGTTTTAAGAAAAAATGTAAATTCTTCTTACATTCGGCAGAGAAAGTTAACTGCAGTTTCTCATTTGCTGCAGCATGCATACAATTATTAGGCAGATGGGCTGGTCTGAGCCCCCATGTTCAGAAGGAACTGATATATTCCCTTGCTTGGTTGCCACCCACCTTTTAATATAGAGTGTGAAGTCCATACGATTCCATAGGCTTTCTTTGTGAATCAGGTCAGAATATCCCAGAGAACAATGCCAGCTGTAGCAGTGCTGTCCCTGGAAACCCTGCCTAATGACTTGGAATCTTGGAAAACTCTCCAACCTTGTTTGTGGGGCGAATCCTGCTCTGCTTAGTAACATATTAGAGGATTTCAGAACCCAGGAAGTCTGTCTGAATTCTAACATAAATCTCTCCTGCTTCATTACCCTTTCACATTTGACACTTAACTTTGCTACATGATTAAATTTGTCTCCTCTAAACTTCATTGGAATGAAGGAACAACCTGTTACCACCATTTGTATAACATTTTTTGGAGAATGGTAATTAAACGTTTCCTTGTTCTTTTCTCATCTGGCCCCAACACCCCAACCTCAATCACCTTAACCTAGAAATTCAATTTTAAAATGCTTCATTTTCTAACAATCAACTGCTACAATTTCCCTTAAAATTTTCATGCCTTAAAGAGTTTCATGCCTTGGTGCTAGGTCTGACCATTCAGGGCATTCTTTGTTGCATATTGAGTTATTTCAATATATGGCAGGGAATTTCTCTAGAATTTTGTACTGAATTTTGTTCATTTGGCAATGTCTTTCGTTTTTACTGTTATCTCCTTCGTTTTACTTATTTTACCCTTCCTAGGTCTTTCATGGTTTCATGGCTCTTCTAAATTCCATTTCTTCTCCTTGAAATTCAAAAGCCTATTCTTGACAAGAATAGAATTGTAGACAGTGCGCCAACCTCTTTAGCAAAGTATCAGGCCTATTTAAAATAAGGTCTCTCTCTTTCTCAAGCATTTTACGGATTGACAGCCTAATGACAGAGTCAAATGGTAACGTATTAATGATGGGGGGAAAGAGTAAAATGTATACCTTAAAGTAATGTGGGAAATAAAAGTTTAAATGGAAGTAAGAAAGTCTTTTGATAAAGTCCTATGGCAGAAATGACAGAAGAAAAAAAATGTAATATAGGACTAGCAAGACAAAAATGCAAAAAATAAAAATCGATGCCCTTTCCAGAGCCCATGAAAATATGTGTGGAAAATGAGAGAGGAATACTCCAATGAAAAGACATGAAATTACATGCACAAATGATATTTGTAAAGACTATACTATCTTTACACATATCAAAATCAAAGTAATACCACCAATGGCATTAGCAATAATGCACAAAAGAGAACTGACCTATCTATTCACTGTGACTAGTGATATGAACTATTCATTCAGTACAACAAACACCACAGAGCACTTATATGCTAGGAACAATGAAGGGGCTGGCAATAAAAAGATGAATGAACCTGCATTAAAAATGTACGTAATTAGCAGAGAGGGTATAGAATAAGAGAGGTTTTTAATAACAGTCATGTAAATTTTTATAACACAGTTTAAGCTCCTTAACAAAGGAGCAAATCCAGTGAGGAGCAAGTAAGTAACTCTGCCTATCCAGAAAGAAGTTAAATGACCTAGGTCAGGGAGGTTAGTAAAGACTAGAGAACAAACATAACATTGAAATTGGATGTTAAGGTTAAAAACAATGACAAATGTAATAACAGCAGGTGCTGCTCAACAAAACTCCTGAAGGGTCAGACATTGTGTTAGGAGTTAAAGCTTTGTTCATTTAATCCTCTCATTAACCAGACTAGATAGGAATTATTATTACCTTCATCTCTACTGATAAGGTGTTAGAAGCCTAGAGGTGCTAAGCACTTGTCCAAGATTTCACAACTACTAAGTGGCTGATCTTGGATTATAATTTAGGTGTGTCAAATTTAGCCAGGTTCCTGGCAGTTGGAGACAAAAAAAGGAAAAAAAGGAAAAGCATTATTTGATTTACCATTAAAATAACTAGCTGATGTGGTCAATTCTGTATAACAAATTAGTCACTTCAGTGGGGAAAGAAAATCAGCCAAATGGATTACATGGCACCATGTGGTCCTATTAGTTAATAAACTGAGCTGCACCATTGCAGGGAGCCAAGGATACTCTGGCACCACTGATACAAAGGCTTTGAAAACTGGAAGGATTTGAAGGGGATGGACCCAGCGGGTGATCTTGGGCAAGGAACTTAAGTACTCTAAGGCTCAGAATCCTCATCAGTGGCCAGACATGATGGCCCATGCCTGTAAGCCCAGCACTTTAGGAGGTCAAGACAGGCAGATCACCTTAGGTCAGGAATTCAAGACCAGACTTGCGGACACGGCAAAACCCCATCTCTACTTAAAAAAAAAAAAAAAAAAAAAATTAGACAGACATGGTGGTATGCACCTGTAATCTCAGCTACTCAGAAGAATCGCTTGAACTCAGGAGGCGGAGGTTACAGTGAGTCGAGATCGCTCTACTGCACTCCAGCCTAGGTGACAGAGCAAGACTCCATTTAAAAAAAAAATTAAAAGCATTTAAAAAATAAAAGCAAAATCCTTATCAGTAAAAATAGGATAATAATATC